GACAATCTCTGACATAATAATATAAAAATATTTGGAGCAGGAGAAGTTGACAGTTGTTGATACACAACTGCATTCGTTTTTATACTCGTATTCCTGCATTCGTATTCCTCGTTGGACACGCGGAATACCGTTAGCTCGCTTCTTTACTACTGTGTACAAGGTGTCCTTTTTTTTGTTGTAGCTCTTTTCTAGGGTAAAAATTTTTGCCGATATTTTTTTCCCGCGTACCGTTTCAACAAAGCGCGGCATCTCTTCAGTCTCAGGTCCATTAGCCGAGCATTCAAACGATGTCCTGTTTTCCTTCGATATGCCATAAGCCCTAAGTCTTCATTTAACACTCTTTTCACCGTGGTTCTGCTTAACCCCATCTGAAGGGCCAACAGTTTCTGCTTACGTTTGGGATTTCTTTGAATTCATGCTTTTATCACTGCTGAAGTCCTAACTGACCGAGGGTACCCACTTCTTGACCTATCACCTACACTAGAGTCTTCATTGTATCGTTTGATGGTACGATAAACGAATCTTTTGGTTATATTCAAATTTTTTTAGTATGTCAAAAAATTTATTTGGCGCGTAACCGCAATGATGCAACGCAATAATTGCAATACGGTCTTCTTTAAGCATCCACTCCATATTTAAAAATGAGTAAAATTCTAAAAAGTATTCATTTTTATTTTTATGAACAATTCGAAATTCCAATTCAATAAACTTTTTCGTGGCCAGTATACTAAAAGAAAAGTTTTTACTGTGTGACAATACTTATGACCTGACTGTGTATGTTGTTTCTCTAAAATATGTGTACACACACTGACTGCTCTACTGCTTCCTGTTCCGTATTCGATATCCTTCTGTAGTAGTCCCTCAGCCTTTTACAAAAATCATACATTTACAATTTACATTTGGTACAAAAGCAAACATTTTTAAATAAAAATTAGGTTTCTGGTTATTATTCAATGTAAACAATCAGATAATAGTCATTAAATAACAGACTCAAAATTCTTTTTTTTTCATTTTTTGACTTGTTTTAGTTATGTACATATTTTATTAAATCTCTCGAAATGATCCCATATTTTCGCTAATACTTAAATAAGACAAAAACATTTCACTAAATAGTAAGTACTATAGAATAGAATAGAATAGAATATAATTTTATTAACCCAGATATTACACATTACAGATACAAATAAAAAAATAAAAAAACCTAAGGGCTAACCAGGACCCTGCCTCAGCATTAGCTGATGCGACATTGTGTCGCACCAGCGCTGTTATTCTGGCAGGGCCTGTTTAGTGACACAAAAAAACACGACATGTAAAAAAATAAATTTTATTACTTGAAAGGATGTTTGGACTTATCATCCTTTGCTTTCAAGTAACAAAAATTAAAATAAAAAATCAATCAAAAACAACATTTTAGCAGCAAGCAAAGCAATGCAAAACAAAGCGAAGCAATTCATTTCAGCCTAAAAAATCATTTAAATTCAAAATATACATGATAGCATAAGCATATAGCAATAAGCATAAGTTATGTACTGTTATTCAGAAACAGGACATACTAGTGTCAAAAAGTATAAGGCCAAATCATGCTACGGACAATTTGCATCAATGCTGTGAAGCAGCTCCTCTCCGTCTTTATTCCGCAAAAGAAATCAAGGTACATATTACTTAGAAGTTACGCTATAATTGATTGTTCATTTAATAGATGCTTTTTAAGATGTTTTCTAAAAGTGTTAATATGTTTTAGATCGCGCACTGGAGGAAGGAGAACGTTCCAACACTGTGAAGCTGCAAACCTAAAGGATCCGCGGAATGCAGCAGTACGATGCTTTGGTGTCACGAAAACGTACGAGCATGATCTGTTGGGATACCTGTTAACATCTCTAGCCCAAATCAATTTCTCATATAGGTATTTAGGGCATTTGGTTTTGATAATTCCAAAGAGTAACACTGAAAGGTGAAGTTTCCTACGTGCTTCCATTTTAAGAATTTTAGAATTTATCAGGACAGGGGTCACATGTGAACGTGGAGGGACATGAAAACAAAATCGCGCACAAGCATTCTGCACCCGCTGTATAAGTTTTGAAGTCTTAGACATTAAACAGGGGCCATAAACAGTGTCACAATAATTGAGCCTAGACAAAACCAATGTGTCACATAATCTGACTCGCAACTTTTCACACAGGTAAGGCCTAATCTTATATATTAATTTGAGTCTATAAAAACAAGATCTAACACACTTCGCTATATGGCTCTCAAAATTCAGGTGGCAATCGAGAGTGAGTCCCAAACTCTTGGCTTCATGAATCTGTTGTATAGGTTCTCCATTTAGTGTGATATTTAACTGTATGTTATCAAGCTTCTTAATTTTATTTTTGGAACCTATCAACATGTACTTTGTCTTCTTTGGGTTAAGAACAAGACAGTTTAACCTACACCAAGTACTTATCTCTGCCAAGTCGTCATTTATTTTAGATACAGCACTAGCCCATTCATGATGTGGAAAAGACAGATATAGCTGTATATCATCAGCATAAAGATGGTATTTGCAGTGTTTGATATTTTTTACTATATCTGCACTATACAGTATGTAGAGAGTTGGACCAAGGATAGATCCCTGCGGAACTCCTCGCTGGACTGGGAGGAGAGCAGACCGTGTCCTTACTCCACTGGGGCTCAGAAGTTCCACGTACTGATGCCTGTCCGATAAATAACTGTTAAACCAGCGAACAGTGTTAGAATCAGCACCATAATAAGACAGCTTGGACAGAAGAAGTGAAGCATTTAATGTTTCGAAGGCACGGGAGAAGTCCAACAAAACCAGAACGCTAACATAACCCTGATCCTTAGCAGTCAGAAGATCATCAATTACATCCATCAGTGCAGTTGCCGTGCTATGTCCCTTACGGAATCCAGACTGTGAAACTGGGAGAATACTGTTGTCCTCAAGGTATTTTGTGAACTGGTCACAAACCACTCGTTCCAAAATCTTGGAGGCACATGGCAATACACTGATTGGACGCAGGTCATGCAAAGAGGAGGGCAAACTAGTCTTAGGCAGAGGCTTAATTATGGCAACCTTCCAGGCCTCAGGAAAGATACCCTCTGAGATAGATTTGTTTACAATCTGAGCTATGGCATGCAAAGTAAATGGCATGGTCAGTTGCAACATCTCAAGAGAAATACCATCGGAACCCAAAGCATTAGATTTGAGTTTTCTTATAATTGCAGCAATTGTGCCCTCATTAACAGGTTGCAATGAGAAAGTGGTAGAGCTATGTCTGTGATGTTCCAAAAAAGTGAGCTGACTTAAGCGGACACTGTTGTCTCCCGGTGCATCTAGGAAGAATGCATTCAAAGTATCTGGGTTATCAACCCACTGAGGAAGACCATTACTGTCCCTTGTGTTTGGTAGCACAGTGCTTTTTAAATTATTCCATAATTTCTTAGAATTACTCAAATTACTATTAATGTAGCAGTCATAGTAACATTTTTTTTTCATTTTCTATGGCCACAACCACTAGTCGCTTCATTGTAAGGTAGCAAGCATGAAGCGACTCTGTTTTATTCATTTTGAAGTTGTTATGGTAATTATCCCTAATGCGCATCATAGACTTTATTGTACCCGTGATCCAAGGATGAGGAGGGTGTTTAAATTTACGCGAGTTGACTGGGGCGTGGAGATCAAACAGATTTAACAAACAAGCTGTGAAACTATCAACTAGACTATTCACATCTCCTTCAAAGTAGCTCCAGTCAATAGAGGACAAATCCATCTGTAGTTGCTCTATGATTATGTCCTTCAGAGGCCTATACTGCACCCATTTAGGACAAGGTTTTTCTTTTTTAATCTTAAATTCGGCAGTCAACATTGCATGCCTACCAAGGTCTGGAATTTGTCTCACTGTTACTTTGGTTGTCTTAATATCACTACAAATTATGTCTATTAATGTTTCACTGTGATCGGTAAAGTGAGTTGCCTCAGTTACTACCTGATCAAGGTTCACACTATTGAGAAACTGTATCAACATCTTTGCCTTATTACTATTGTTATCAAAAAGGTTGATGTTGAAATCTCCCAACAGTACCAACCCATCATGCCCAGCAAAAGAAGTAATAGAATCAGTGATTGCATCAAGGAACAAACCTATGTCCAACCATGGGGGTCGATAGGCAGTACCTATGATTATAGAGAGGTTGTGAATGCGAACTTTCAGCCACATCTGTTCAACCGACTGCTTTACAGGGTAAGGGCAGGTGCGCACATTGATACCCTTTCGTAAATAAAAACCTACTCCACCACCACGCCCACCCCGCACGCAATCCGGCCGAGGTGTGTGCCATAGCCGAAAACTTTTAAGTCTAGGTGCATTATCCTCCTCACCATACCGCAGCCATGTCTCGTTGATAGCCATGATATCAGGTTGCATAGCCTCCATTGCCACTATGAATTCTTCATGTTTTGTACTAAGGGATCCTGCATTAAAAAGACCAACTCGCAAATTCCTAGCAATGGCCATTTACATTTAAATAATAGAAAAACAGTACACATGTGCCCATAGATAAAATAAATGTGTTTTCTTTGGAATTAAACAATACCCTAATTTGACCCCTTTGTACAACAAATGTATATTGACATAGGAATAATTGATGTGTAACTGAATTATTTGAATTATGTATACATGAGCAAAGAGACTTAATAATATTGAATGTAATATATAAAATGCTTGAAACATATATAATTCTTATTATTAAATTAGTAAAAGAAAGCAATAGCAGTTTTTCATTTACCCTTAAACACAGAAGTATATAAAATCTATCCGAAAAAATATAGAAATAATAACTGAAAGCTGAAAAAACTTCAACAAAGCGGTAATGGTTGAAAAATAAATTTAAAATAAATAAGAATAAAATTGAAAGTAAAGGTAATACTTCAAGGAACTGAAGACAAACTGTAAAGCAATAAAAGCTAATAAATACTATGTAACAGGTTACTACGAGTCACAATGGTGTGGCCGACGCCGACTGCAGAGGAGCGGGGTCAGGCCGGTATGGACCCGGCGGGTTGGAGCACGACTGCAGCGGAGCGGGACCCGGTGCTACTGGGCCCGGCGGGCTAGAGCCCGATGGGTTGGGGCTCGGCGGATTTGAGGCCGGCGAGTTAGGGCCCGGCGGGACGAATAATGGCGGTGGGGCCGAGGTCAGAGGCCCGAATGCACGCTCCAAGTCAACCTCGGAACGGAAGTGGAAGACGGGTGACCCCTGCACCCGGCGAGCGAAGACGCGGCCCTGTTTCGTCCAGGAATACTTCCAGCCCAGCCTGCGACACTCCTCACGGACCCGGTGGAACAGCTGACGGTTATGTCTAGTGAGCCGCTCATTGACGTAGATACGCCGACCACCAGCATCAGTGACGGTGCGGCGCACCCGCGCGGCCGTCAGAAGCTCATCGCGCAGGCCACGGCGCGCCAGTCGCACGACGATGCGGCGCGCACGACCCGACTCGACAGTGGGAGCGCCCACGCGTTCGGCGAACACTATATCCCGGTCCTCCAATTTAACAGACAGGCGCGCGGCAAGCGAGATGACTGTATGAGATACATTTTCCCCCTTCTCTTCAGCGACCTGGCCGATGTCCAAATCGGCCATTAGAGCCTCGCGGTCACGCTCCGCCAACTCCGACTTCAACTGTGATACAGTATGTTCCAACTGTTGCTGGATCTGTTGCACAGACTCAGGAGCGCCCGCCTGCTCACGGCGCTCAAGGGCTTCCAGCCTCTCATTCACTGACTCGATTTTACGTTCCGCCGCATCGAATCTTTGGTCCATTTTATCCAGTCTCGTCACAAAAGCTTCCCAGGAATCACGCAGCAACGCCATCCCCCGGCGGAACTCCCGCATCTCCGTCACAGCCTCCATAAAGAAACGCCGAAATTCATCGTCACTTTCTGTTACAAAAGCCACACCGGCGCCGGCAACAGCAGAGTCACCATCACCAACAGAGGGCTCACTCGTGACCACCGCTGCAGGGGACGACGTCACGGCAGATGGCGGACTACATAGGCCTTTAACAGGCGTATGCGTGTTATCGCCTCTTTTAACGCTCTGTGTGCAATCAGGGCAAACCCAGTCCTTGCGTATTTGTGACTTCTCCGACATCGCCAGACAAGCTCGGTGATATTTATTCGGGCAGGTCGTGCAAGCAGCCGCACCACCCGACGAGAGAAACCTCCCACACGCAGCGCAGTGAAGCATGATGGTTCTTGTAGATGTCAAATCGTGATTTTCGATCCGTTTCCCGATTCCGCCGCGAGATGTCGAGTATCAACACGGTACAAGCACGATGGTTCTTGCAGATGTCGAACCTAGCTTTTTAGCGTAGATCCGCTTCCCAATTCCGACGCGAGATGTCGTGTATCGGCACGGTATTTACTCCTCTCTCCACTAGATGTCGCAAATTTTAAATTGATTATATGCTTAATACAATGTTTATCAAAAGATTTGTGCATTTATTATTGAAGTAAAATTGGATAAAATGTTTATCACATTCGACACTTAAAAGAATCCCGCGACTAGTAACTTCAATCAGTTTATTCAAAATTACCCCCTCACGAAAGAAAAATTGTAAGAATCAGCTGATTTTATTTTATCAATAATTCAAGAAAAAAGACTCTTATCGACTCGCCCACACGTACACAGATTCTCAGAGGCACTATTATTTACAGTTACACAATCACAACACGCAAACTTTAGACTGAGTATTTATTTATTCGCAATTACTTCGCACACTATTATGACAGCACCAAAGTTCCGTCGTCCTCCTCCTAACTACTACCTACTACTACTATCGTAACTTAACTAAATTAAGTTGCGGTCAAACCTAAGAAACTTTCATTTAGTTCCACATTTTAATATAAATCAAAAGTTGCTGCGTAATTTTTAAGTTTGTCAACGCAACAAGTATGAATCGGAAGTTTATTTCCTTACTTAGAATTAATTTATCGTGTTCGTGCGGCGTAATAAGTTCTACAATTACGCCGTTTTTCTCTATCTACCTATATTAAAACAAATTTTATGCGCTGTACTTTGTAAAGTATTGGTCTAATCAAACGCCAGACAATGAGGCATAGAAATCGCTTAGAATTACAGCTTACAATGCCCCTTTGTCGAAGTTACATGTAAATATTATAATAAATCAACGTACATTTTGTATGATGATAGGTAAGTAAGTGCTTATATGCTATCCAGGTCATAATATGTGAGTGATTCCATATAAGGTGTTTAATAAAAGTAATGATAAATAACTGTATAATATTGTTAAATAATTGAAGCAAAATTGACTGTCAATAATTTTCAGGAGCTTCCGCAAGTTTCCTTCTTAAGAAAGAACTTTCGGTCTGCATGACATCGGAGTCTTCGCAGACTAAATTCGATCAAAATACAAAAAAAAACTTCGTAATTCTAAATTCTTGAATAAATACTAAACTAAGCTCCTTTATGTGTTACTTAGGGTACTGTAATAGTTGGAACTATAATACATACTAAGAAAATTAAATCATATTGCGCATGGACCGCAAGTACAGTCAGTACTGCGTGTGTTTTTGTAGCACACCGTAAGTTCCTAATTGCGCGCTTCATGTCGCTAATTGAACGGTTAGCGGCAGGCAAGCAACCGGTCCGGCCCGTGGTGTTTGTTAAGCGATTACGCGCCTTATTAACGGCCGGCCCTTTTTGCACCGATATCAATTGAATTCTAATTGACGGTGATTATTCCGAACGACCGCTTTCGGAACTTTTAGAAAAAAAAAACATACATTCGAATTGAGAACCTCCAGCTTTTTGGTTGCAGTTTAAAAAAAATAGTTTTAAAAACAGAACGCTGTTTGTTTGAAGTTTGTTTTCTAACTAATACGCGTTGGCGGCGATTCCATTAAAATGACGAATGAAAAGAATTATCTCTCGGAAAACAAACATAAACAACATAACAATTTAGTAGCTAGCGCAAAATGTTGATTATAACAAACAGCAAGGCATTTATTATCGCTTTATAACTCAACATTAAGAACTGAGGGTTTCCGTGTAAAATCAAAAACCAACATCGTGGCATATAACATTGTTTTCGCGTGTTTATGAGCTGCGGGCGATAAAAGTTCCATCATTGTCTACATCTTGGCTTGCCCCAAGTGCGAGTGTAACACAGGAGCTCCGCTGAAAAACAATTCTAACTTTTCATTTCGTTGCGACAGTTACTCGTATTTCAGTTTGCTTTAACTGAGTACACTGTATTATTAAGTTAAACTGCCGAGTGCAATCCTCTTTTACAGTAAAGTTATTTGGAATATTTTTAGATATAATGCGTAACAATGGATACATAAGCACTTCGAATATAGCTTTTATTGCTTCGTTATAAAGGCCCACAATGCGCAAAGTGTTGACTAGACTTTTGGACAAAAAATCTTTTGTTACTAACATAGAACAAACCCTTCAATAACTTATTGTGTCTTAAATTTTTTTTACACACAATATATCCTATTGAGTGCAACATTTGGTTGTTAAGCGAACATCAACTTTTGTTACCGGCTCGTCACCGCTCGCCACAAAAGCGCCCGGTAGATTAACAAGCGCAAAAAGCTGTCTCAAAAATAACCCCCTTGCGAGCAAGCGAGCAGCTGCAGACCTCAAGGCAAACCGCCAGCTTCTTTTAGGCCAAGTTTTGCAACGTAAGTCGAGATTTTTTTTTCCTTCTTGACGAGTAAGTAAGTATCTAGAGTGGGCTTACAATGCGTACGAAGCTTAAGTGAAGTCTATTTATGGTAAGTTGAATGCGAAATGTGCTCGAATCGAGAAATACGCTCTCCGTTCTAGTTTTATGAGCTGATAATGTGAGTATTTACATTGCACGCGAGCCTTACTTCAGACGATGTTTCGATCATTTGATATTCCAATATGGTATCATCGCTTTGAGCTTAGATTCGATTAGGAAGTCGGTTGGCTAATAAATTGCAAACTGGTGGAGAGGAGTTGTTGTAAACTGCCATTTTTATCCGGAAACATGATACCTATGTAACCTGGTCAACACCTGCTCTACTGTGGGAAAAAGAGAAATTATAAAGTCAATCAAAAGTAATTTTATAAATAAACCAAATCTTGTAACAGGTTATATGTACTGAATTTCCTTTGCAGGAATGCGTCATCAGAATAATGATTGCTGCAAAGGATACGAATCATCAATAAAAAAAAATCAGTACACCAAACCCGTAAAAAGTTTGTTTTATTTAATGATTGTTGTGCGTGAAAACCTAAGAAACAGGTTTATAAAATAAAAATAAAAATGTTATTTAGAATCCAATTATGGAAACTTAATGTGATGAAGATTCATTGATTAATCACAAATATTTAACAAATAAAAAGAAATTGCGTCTTGTTGTAGAATAGGGCCTTGGTCGTTCTATAAATAGAGTGAGCAGCGAACGTCGTACGTCCATTGTGTGTACGTGATAAAAGGCATACAGCCATTCATCCATAAAAAACAAGTCTTCTATCCTATATTAGCACATATTTATGTATTATACAAACAAGAATAAATATTACTTAGTAGTAATACACCTATATATTACACGTGTACCTATTCTGTAATAAAGCTTTTATAAATAAAAGTTAACACATTCAAAACTCTATATTTAAGTAGGCACTTACATATCAGTTTTTATTCTATGTATAAAAACTAAAGCTATTTACTTACTAACAAGTTTAAGTAATAAGTTACATAGTTAATTGCGTTCTGGAACAGACACAGTAAAATGCAATTTATTTTTCCTTTCTGTCATAATTACTGATATCGTAGTAATAAATGTTGACAAAAAGGTAATAGGTAATCTTTTTTACATAAGATATATCCTACATCATAACAAAAAATCTACAAAAGAATAGACATTAAATTTGAATCTTACTTTAATAAGGTTTCACACTAAACATACAAAATACAAAGATATGAATAATTTGTCTTTGCTAATATCTTAATAATACTATTTACTTTGCTTAACTAGTATCGGCAGTATGGAATCCAAACTAGTGCCGCCTCTTGATATACTTACTGCGGTAGTAACGGTATTGGGGTACGCTAGCGCTCAAGCTGATTAATTTAGAACTACAACGCACGTAGCGTAGGTAAGCCCGCTTTATGTAATTCAGCGCGAAATCGGAAACTTAGATGAGCTATTTTTTGTAGCGCTTGATGTCGCAGTGAAGTTTGTTCGGAAATAAAAAAAAATATATAGGAGTGGTTTCGAAATAGGAACGTCTGTTTTTAAATTAATTTACTTCACAACGGGATGTGGTAACGACCGCAACCTCTATCGCGCTTGCTCAGGCGTTGCGTCATACACTAAACTTGCAAGGGCTGAAGACATTGTTATGAAATTATTCCTATGAATAACGCTTTTAAAAATATAACGAACACGTCATTGTAGTATTGGGATTTCAAAATACTTAGATTCGGTAATGTTCTTGATATGGCTTTACAGAATTTGCAGACTTTGATTTTGTCGACGTAATTGAAATAAGAAACTACGTAACATAACAGAGGAAGAAAATTGAATAACTAACTTAGATAAGACGACGAAGAGAAAGGACGACCGGTCTTATATAAAACATTTTAAGGAAGTGATTCCAATCTACTTTTTATTTTAAAAGAGTGGCAAACAAAACCGTATGGCCAGCGTAATTGTAAGCAGTAATCATAGCCTAAAGACAGACACTTGGGAAACCAAAACAGACTTCTCTGACCACGACCTCAAAAGATGTTCACATAGTGTAGCCAAATCCACGATGTCTATCTTATATTAAATCTGCAGTTCAGATGCGGTGACGGTTATACTAAAAATATGTTACTAATCAAACGAGATTTAGAAACCTTCCCGAGTCGAATGTTTTCTAGTAAAAGTCTTTATATATAATTAGAAAAATCTAGGAGTTTACTGTTTAAAATGAAAGCTAATAATATGTGTTTGGTTGTTGCAGGATATTATCAGCCGGCCGGACCGCTGATCAAGGAGACGGGAGCGGAGGCGGAGCGCGCGCTTGCCCGCTACCACCCGCAACCACACTACCACGCGCCGCACCCATCAGTGAGTATCATACCACCTTTTACCAGCCGGCCAAGCCGCTGATCAAGGAGACGGGCGCGTAGGCGGAGCGCGCGCTTGCCCGCTACCACTCGTTTCCACACTATCACGCGCCACTCCCATCAGTGATTATCATACCACCTCTTACGAACCGGCTGGCCCGCTGATCAAGGGATGGGCGCGGAGGCGAATTACGCAATGACCGAAAAGTGAATTTGTAGCTGGGAATGGTAGCGACCACCCGCAGCCACACTTTCACTCAAATAATTATGCAAAATTAACAATTTGCTAGGTTTTCCCACCACGAACAAATAATGAATTTCATCACTGACATAAAAGGGAGTATTACCGTAAAAATAACATTTGAAAGGGTGAAATAGGGATGCTAACGATCTGTTCTCGATTTAGGGATTTAAATGAGCCTCCTCGAAGAAAACATTTGAATGAATTTGCGTATATTCATTTGATTTTATTTTTCCAGGTGCTACAGCAGTACGGCACTCCATACTACCCCGCAGACCTGTGCTATGGCCGGTATTACAGGCCCACAGGTGCCTACCACATGCCTCCACCACAACCGGATGCACAGGTACATACGACTAGCACTATCTTCTACACCATCGTTAATATCGATAGCCTAATAATGTCCCCTCTGCTAGGGCACAGGCCTTCCCTATGGATAGAATAGAGATTTGATTCATGATCCACCACACGAGCACAGATTGTGGGTGCTAACGACTGCAGATAATTTCGGGACCATCGGCTTAACGTCCTTCACGAAACGCGAAGGAGCTCTAGATTACAAGTTTTTGGTATCGCAAGCAAGCAAGCTATGATGGCCTGTTACCATCCGCCAGGCCATAATTATGCTTGTTACCTTCCCTTCAACATAAAAAATGATGATGGAAAAACTTAAAAGACTGTGATTTAATATTCCAGACACTACTTCAAATGTGTTTTTTTACTTTTGTTTTCAGATGGTGGGTGTGGGGAGCGAACCGTACCCGCCGCCGCAGTACTACGGCACACCGCCGTGCTACCAGCACTCCCCACAGAGAATACCCTACGTAGGTCAGTGTCTCTGGACAAGACATTATTATCTTCATTTAGCTATACATATATACATCTCGGCAAAATTCTTGAGCAACGACCGTAGGCCTGCGCAGTATCAATTTTAAATACAAAAACGTCTCCTGCGCAAGTTTGTGTGTCTGTGGATTTGCTCAAGTAGTTTGCTGCTACCCTATACTCGTAGTCTTAAAACAAAGTCGATCGCACTTTCTTGTACGCTTAAACCCTGAGCTTAAATCTTTCAAATTGCGCAAAGGATTTTAATGCAATTGTGGACAACAGAAAGAGTGACTGAAGAGAAAATTTCTGTGTGTTTATAATACATGCCCGACACCAAAAACTATCTTTTTTCACTTTACTTAAAACCTTAAACAAACATTTTAAATAAGTGGTGGCCAAAAAGATCGAATATGGAGGTAAAAGACAAAGAGACGATTGCGGGCGGCTCTGCCACACCGTACAAAACAAACATGGCAAGTTCCTAAAAACTGAAGATGTTAAACAAAAAAAATAGTTTTATAATGGGCAATAAGTTATTAATATAAACATTTGTTGAGCGGGGTGTGCAAAGACCATAAACTCCTTCGTTACGGTCTTTCAAATAATCATAAATTTTGTGAAACATGATCATAAATATTTTGTACAGCTGGGTACTTTTTTTCTTGATAAAAGGAAAGGTTTTGTTCCGCGATCTTGACTTGATTAAGTAATAAAATAGATGAGTATGTGTTTAGCATAGGTCAGTTTAAAAAGCATGGTTTTCAATATGGGAGACTAAATATATATATATATTTTTAAATAGGTTAAAATTTTATGTTATATTATATTAAATATAATTATACAAAACGCAAAATAAGTATAACTAAATATTGGAGACTAATAAAAGGTTTGTGTTTATCAAATTGAAGTAGGTAACTACGATACTTCCTTTTGAAAAAGGACACATTAATTCAGTCATTTATCAATTATGCCGAAATACATATATATTATTTCAAATGTGGCGTCCTTAGGGTGTGACTGTGGGAATGTCGATGTTGTTTGTATCATCATCATCAGCCAACTGTAGTCCACTACTGGACTAGAACCAGGGGAGTCTACCATGCTACTACAGAAATATGAACTGAATGTAAATTCTTGCTTTTAAGTTCTCAGTTAGTCCCTCAGTTATATCCATAAAAAAAGCCGGGTAACTATCTAAATTTCTCAGTAGATTTAATATAGGTCGCAATCGGATTGCTATTATACAAAACTTCTCAAATTTTCATACAACTAAGTACATATAAGTGTTTTATGGCAAATGTACAAGCTGAATGCGGTATTATAAGATAAATGATCTTATGCTAGTTATCGGATACAAAAACTCAACATATCGACCTAAATAGCATTAATTAAATAGCATACTCGTAGCAGTATCATAAGTTACGTAAGATAATATAAAATGAATAAATAAATAAGATTTGTGGCATACTTATTACATTCCTTATAATAACTAATTTTGGCTTCATCAAAAGATACTTAACCTAGCTATTGAAAATGGCTCGAAGCTTCTTACTAGCCGTCTAAATATTCCTAATAAATACCGCTGAACGTCAGCCAGTATTCGTGTCCACGAGATTCTATTTATATCCGACGAATACATTTCACAACAGATCCATCACTCCGCAAGTTATGACTCATTACATTTATGTACCACGTATATTTTACGTGTAGATAGATTAGCGACATTGTAAAAAAACATGTGACTACGTAGGTAACTTAACTGATAATTTTGAATTGCCTATTAGTTGAATCATGTGAAAAAATTGTATTTCTGCTTGAGTATTGTCTTAATTTATTGATTAGATATGAAATATGTAATTTTAGTTACAAAACTTCTTTTATTTATTCTTGACATAATAAAATATACCCGATACAGTTGTTCCCTTTCAAATATCCCGTTAAAATGGAAGTTAGATTTAGCTTATTAGGTTAGATTAGAAATAGTCTCAAATGAGTGTGCCTAGATAGCCTTAATTACTGAAAATTAGCTACGAACTTATGTACGATAGGAATGAGTTGAAGTAATTTTTAAGCAGCTAGGCAAACTAAAAACCTGGGCCTCAGAATCGTTCTCTCTTTACAGAATATAGATGCCCGTGCCCACTCAACGCGTGTCCAAAAAACGTCCTTATTGGGCCCGCTACTGGTAAAGCCCCAACCGGTGGCGGCCCAGCCGACGTTCCTTCGGCCCTAGCGCCGCCCGGGGGTGCCTTCCGAGGGAAGGTTCGGGTGTGCGCCCTTGACGCTGTCGCCGACACACATGGCAGCGGAAAGGTAACGTTTAAATTAGGTGCATGCACACAATTCGCTTTCGCGCTCACTTAATATAACAATATTGCGGAAAATCTGTGTTAAAATGATAAAACAGTGACTTCGATGCTTTTAAAAACAACACAAATAGCTAGATAATAAATTCCTCAGCAACTTTTCATTTACGAATGGAAAGGGTTCCACTATAAAAACTTTTTTTTTCTTAACAGTCACGGTTTTGTCAATCATGTCAATGTTATTTACCTATATTCGCCATTTTTTATCAAGAAAAGGACAACAATACAGCTAAGCTATTTGTGGAGAGAGACAGCTGTCGCGCTCGCTCGATTTAATGTTTATTTATGCAAGTGTGCTTGTATCAGAGTTGCTTATGTAATGTAGTTGAAACGGAGCATATTTTATTTGATGCTAGTAAGATCCTACCGTATCTTCTCATTTGTTTTAATTCTAGAAACAAGAAATTAAGTAAGGAGCTAATGTCACCATACCATTCATTTTCAGGATCCTCCTCTGGAATCAGAACCACCGGCCGCTTCGGACGCACCACACCCGTGTCCGTTACCAGCAATAGGAGGAGCGTCACCGAAACGCGAGCTTTATGACGTTCGTGAGAATCTGAGGCTGGCGGGAGACATTCCAGGTCCCGCCGAGCCCATAGGTCCTCCTTCCCCGGCGAGGGGGTCTGCCGGAGCATGTGCTCCTCAACCACCACCGGCTGCGCCGCGTCGAGCCCGTCTGGGAAAAGCTATGGCAAGAAGATCATTAGCTGGAGACGACACAGGATTACTCCTATCAGTCCCCCAGCCTTCTCTAACCCAACACAGCGACGCTGACGACGACGTACTGGCGATCTCACCCCCCGTCTGCGCTCCAATAGATCTATCGTCTTCTGACGAAAGGTCGACACCACTAGTCGATGTAAAAAAAGAAAATGAAGGACCCACTAACGCGCTATCCAGGAAAACCGATGCTCAGGCTCTAAGAGAACATAATTGTACGACCGTTTCTGATCAGACTGATGTAATAGATACGACAAAAGCTGTTAAAAGGAGGTATTCGAGACCAAAATTAGAAATTGACATGAAGGATACGCAATTAGAAGACAGCTGCAAAACTAATGGGATCGGTGAACATGTGAAATTACAGAAACGTAGAAAAGTTTCGGGGGATCAAACAGATCTTCGAATGGAAACTGTTGTTACGAAGGAACCGAAGAAGAGAACATCGCCAGCTAAAAGGGCACCTAAATCTACTTCAATTGAAAAGAAGACTGCTAAGAGAAAATTGGAAAGCAATACTGGTGGACCTAAAGCGAAGAAATCACTCGTAGAATCTATTGCGACTGAAGATCCACGACTGAAAAATGTGGCAGCGGTGGCGGATGAACCGCCAACGACAAAACCTAAAACTAAAAGCGCACTTCTTCTTGATAATTTAATAAGGAAAAACAGCATCGATAGAGTAGACTCTAAAGGTTACGCTCCCGATACAAAATTAAATCCAGCCGAACTATTCCTTAGTCCCGACGAAAACGTATCCCAAAGCTGTTCAAAGAAAACCTTAAACATAAACAACAACGTTGTGGACAATGCGAGTACGCCTGCGCCAGTCAACGGCGTGCAACCAAACACGATTGCGGCTGTCAGCCAGCTGATCGGGAAAAAGCTCGCGTCCAAAAACGCATGCAAAGTCGAGAAAGTAGATTCAAAAGTAACGCACAACATTAAATCAGTATTAAAGACTCCGCTACCTAAACTGGAAGACGATCTCAAAAGTACAATAGGAAGCGAAACGTGCATCGAGAAACTAGCAGATACACCCACCGATAGGAAAGAATCTAGCGTAATCCAAGAAGCAAAAGAAGTTTCCAAGGAGAAATGCGAGAAGCTAGTAGAGAAAGAGAAACCAGCAAAAGCGCAACCACAAAGCAAAGTTGACGCGGTGGAGCCTCAGAAATCCGAAGACAGAGAAGTTGAAAACAAAGCGATTGAAGCGAAAGTTAATAAAAGGTCGAAGCTCGCTAACGGGGATATGAAAGCTAAGAACGTAGAGAAGGTCGTAAAGTTGTTGGTTTCTAAAAGGCCTGCTATAAAGGCGGATGAAGCAACGACGGTGGTTGAGGAAGCTTGCTCAGCGGTTAGCGCGGGGGGTGCGAGAAGGACTAGGAGACGACGGAGTGGGGGGCAAATGAGACGGCATCGAAGGCCGCCCGCGATTCTAGCGCCGCCCGACAATGAGCCGCGTGCGCCGCCGCGCTGGAGCAATGGATGGAACTTCGACGGAGAGCATTACCTGTCCAAAGTCTACCTGAGCGTGAGTAACTATTCTATTTTTCTTATTTATGCCACTTGTCATCATAGTATTTTCTGATTCTGGCATGATTCCTTAAACCTAAACTAAATTTAACATCAGTCTCTTCTTATCATTCTGTATAGAGGATGACAACGACACACTGTTGTCAAAATTAAGTTTTGATTTAGAGAATTATGCCAGAAACGACACCATTGACAAGCTATTATAAAATCAAACTATTTTATGCGTGATTTTGCTTTACCAAAAAATAAAATTGTAAAAAGGAGATGGAATTCTTTGATAGTTTCTAGCACGTAGTAAATTAAATGACCATTAATGGGATTCGGAAAAATCGTTAGTATTACCGGACAATAACCTAGACCTGTCGCATTTGAAGCGTGGGCTTATCTTCATTAAATACTATTTAACCATCTCGCGCATAATAGCTTTGTATCGCGTGAAACTATGTGTATGTCTTCTTACTTTGCAGATCTTCCAGCCGTGTAAGATGTATAATTATAGCATACAAATAATATAAAATTGTTCTACATAACCTTGCAAGTTGTTCACTCTAGTATAGATATATGGAAATTATACTGCACTGTTTTCTCTTCTTCTGTCCTTCTAGTGATTTGTGAATTTCATCAGAGCGTCACTCATTTCATTATCTGTCTACTAACTGTCTTACCAACCCATTGTTACTCTTGATATGTTACTTCTTTACAAAAAGTCTGCAAATTTTCAACTTCTTACCTCACAATCCGCGTTGAAAGTCTTATTTGTCTGAACTATACGGTAAAGCCAGATGAAGCAGAAACAGACCAGAAGGAAATATAATTCATTTCATCTATTGTTCATTGTTTGTAGAACGACTCGCGGCTAGACCGCACAGCGCGGTGCTGGGCGCGCATGCGGCACGAGAGCGGCGACAGCGTAGCGCGCGGCGACTGCGTGCTGCTGCGGGCGTCCGTGGCGCGTGCACAGCCCTACGTGGCGCGCGTCGCCAGTCTCTGGCAGAACCCAGACGATGGTGAGTGTGTGCCGCGACACTGGGGCCGAGGAGCAGCGACAGCTTGGTGTGCGGCGACTGCGGTAGACTGCGGCGCACGCATAGCCCTACGTGGCGCAATACGCCAGCCCAGGCAGAACCCTGACGATGGTGAGTGTGTGCCGCAACACTGAGGTCGGGGAGCAGCGACAGCTTGGTGTGCGGCGACTGCGGGAGACTGCGGTGCACGCATAGCCCTACGTGGCGCAATACGCCAGCCCAGGCAGAACCCTGACGATGGTGAGTGTGTGCCGCAACACTGAGGTCGGGGAGCAGCGACAGCTTGGTGTGCGGCGACTGCGGGAGACTGCGGCGCACGCATAGCCCTACGTGGCGCAATACGCCAGCCCAGGCAGAACCCCGACGATGGTGAGTGTGTGCCGCGATACTGAGGTCGGGGAGCAGCGACAGCTTGGTGTGCGGCGACTGCGGGAGACTGTGGCGCATGCATAGCCCTACGTGGCGCACTACGCCCGCCCCTGGCAGAACCCCGACGATGGTGAGTGTGTGCCGCGACACTGAAACCGGGAAGCAGTGACAGCTTGGTGTGCGGTGACTGCGGGTGACTGTGGCGCATGCATAGCCCTACGTGGCGCACTACGCCAGCCCCTGGCAGAACCCTGACGATGGTGAGTGTGTGTCGCGACACTGAGGCCGGGAAGCAGCGACAGCTTGGTGTGCGGCGACTGCGGGAGACTGCGGTGAGCGCTTAGCCCTACATGGCGCGCTACGCCAGCTTCTGGCAGAACCCCGCCTATGGTGAGTGTGTACCGCGACACTGGGACCGGGGAGCGGCGACAGCGTGCTGCTGCGGGCGTCCGTGGAGCGCGTACCGCCCTACGTGACGTGCGTTGCTAGCCCCTGGTAGAACCCCGACGATGATGAGTGTGTGCCGAGACACTGGGGCCGGGAAGCGGCGACAGCGTGGCACGCGGCGACTGCGTGCTGCTGTTAATGCTGGAAGTTTATAAAGAAGCGTTAAAATCCAAAAAAAAATGGGAGGACGATGAAACAGTTAAGGGAGGCGATAGCTGATTTGTGTGTTGGTTCTAATATTTTGATCTGTCAGTTCTTTTTACAAATGTATTTGTTTTTCATACTAAATCATAACGCTTATTTTTTTTTTCAAAGAGTACAGCAAACAGACTGTCTCCTTAACATTTCTTCAATAAACTAGATTATTTCTAAACAACGTTGTCCGTATTTCCTTTCAAAAATTATATACAAATATTTTCAACTCAATTCAAATGTTTATAATGATATTGTCACAGGCGAGATGATGGTGTCCCTAGTGTGGTACTACCGGCCCGAACACACGGAGCGCGGCCGGCAGCCGTCGGACGCGCCCGACGAAGTGTTCGCGTCCCGACACCGCGACGCCAACTCCGTCGCCTGCATCGAAGACAAGTGCCACGTGCTCACCTTCAACGAGTACTGCAGGTACTTGTTACTTACTTGTTGTGGGCCCCCGTTTCCGCGCGTAGATTCCGTTCTTGGTCCATTGTGCGTGCAGGGTATGTTGGGCTAGCTAGCTCAGCCAGCCCAGCTCCTTCCTGAAGCGCAGTAGTCTCCTGGGGCTCTCTCACAGGCTTTTAGGAGCGTCCTCGGCGTCCTGAGGATTGATGTCCGGTGTACTGCAATGCTTGTGCATTCCAGGATCACATGAGCGGCCGTTTCATCTGCTTCCAGACATCCTCTGCATAGAGAGCTATCTGTAACGCGTATAGTTAATAAATGCTGAGTAGTGCGGGTATAATAAATAGGTGACTCTAGTGTGGTTGATAGAATTAACTTTTTTTGAAGAAACTGAATAAATACCTTTGTATATAAAACTTTCAACTTACCATTAAAAAATAAAAAACACAACGTCACAAGTCCTTCGAGCCGGATCATTAGAAAGTTTGATCCATTTTTATAAAATAATACGACATAATAATACCTGACATATAAGTTCCGAATAGGCTATCAAAGACTTTATCAGCAAGTAGTGAGATAAGCCTTTATTACTCTTTTCCTAGTTGAATGCAAGATGCATCATTAAAATTCATGTATTTTAAAAAAAAAACAATTAGATTAAAGACCATTCTGTTTCCTCACACAGGTATAGGAAACGGCTAAAAGCCGCCGAGGAGGGCATCACGATAGTGCCGTCTATAGTTCCGCCACTGCCGGCCGGCGAAGTGAATCCGGCTTTCGCGCCCAACGACTCGAAGCTACCGCCGTCCGTCTCGCCGGAACTAGTTCTCTTCTGCCGCAAGATATACGACTTCCGATCCAAGAAGATACATGTGCCCAACAAGTGAGCGGAACCCACCCCCTCTGGAGCACGTTCCCGAGATCCTCGCGATCTCCCCATCTCTCATAAGTACCTATCGAGTAAGATAATGAACACCAAAGTTACGTTACGGTATCTCTTTAGTGAACGATACTCGGATGTTCCTCTCTCGACGTGGGTCGGAGTCGACTCGGCAGCACGTATTTCGTAGTGTCCCCGATACCCCTTACATTAGTACAAAAACGCGTTCCCGGGTGCGAATCGTAGAATGTGTGACCTGTGGCCATTTTATGTGAAAACTGAGTATAATTATAATATTTTTTGTGTTTAGTGATCGCCGATTTGGTCTAATTCGCTTGTGTGGTGGTTTCTAAGTACCTAGTAGATATTTTTCCTTTTGATGTAAACGTTAAACGGTGATTTGCTGTATTCGATTGATTTCATATGTGACGGATAATTTGTGTATCAAAGGATGCCTTTTATAATGTTTAAGTAGTTGTAAGAGAATCATGATCGAAGACGCATAATTATGTATAGCATTATAATAATTTTGATTTCGCTTCGGGGCGAGTGCCCCAAGACACCTAAGTATTTACTCTCATACGCGCCGACCGATGAGAGCGTGTGTGCTGAAACTTAGATATAAAGTGTACGGCTGATGCGATTTTGTTTTCTGTGTACAATTAAGTTTATATTTGGCTATTCGAGAAAAGGCATTTATAATTACAACTATTATTTTTAATTAATTGTTACATTGTTGTCTAAGTAGAGTCTATATTAAATTATTCTTTTTATTATTTAAGAACACTAAATTATGCAAGAAGCGGCGTAGATCAGTATAAATGCAGATGAGCTGAATAAACTGATGCGAACCTTTTTGACCATAGTGTTTTTGATAGAACCCTCCAAGAGGCAAAAGCTGTATTCACTTTGAAAAACAAGACATGATGATTGTACACCTGTAGGTACCTATATGCGGTAATATAAATTACTGTCCTTTTTACCTGCCTACCTAATGCAATATTGAATGACTCTTGTTTTTCAGTGTACGCAACCATGTAAAGTGTATTTGTACCGTGTATTAAAATTATGTTTTAGTTAAGTTACATTTTTTTTCATCACAATTACTTTTTAAGATAAAATATGTGGAGGATAAAGTGAAATTGTTCACACCTCTACTGCGCTATTGAACGACGAAGTATTAAATCAAATACTGCATGCATTTGTCAGTATACTCATTGCCTGTATTTTTTACTTAAAATCATAACATTGTATAGTGAAGGGATATAACACCATGCCTTTATAGGAATTGATTTACGTAACTGCATTTTGGAAAATAAAAATCTCAATATCTCTCTGCACTTTTGTGAAAGACTGATTATTCAGATGGAGTGATTTAAAATTTATGTTGTCGATAAGAATATAAATTCAGTCAATTTCCAAACATTCAAGGCGTTTTATTTTTTTATGATGTCAGCCAATAACTATACACACTTATTGAAAAAAATAACAAATGGGATCATTGTAACATATTTTAAAGTAATATTAGTGCATAGATGTAAACAAAAAAATAAACATTTGGGTGTTGGAAGCAAAGAGATATATTGTATGAATGTCATAGTGAAATCTCTGATCACTAGAAACATAATTTTTAAGTAGCGCGGAATAATTGAATAAAGAATATATTTAACGTTATAATTCCCGCGTGGATGATTAAAAAAGGGCATTTATACGTTCGCGATTTGTACCTATCTAGTTCTGTCTCACTATTTCTTACAATGTATCTCTAAATAATTAGGTTCTTCTATCTTTCGGTTGATTTTTGTTGTAGATATGTAAATCTTTTGTTTGTAAAAAAATACTAAAGTTGTTATCTTTCCAGTGAGAAACGGATGTTAAAGACTAAATTTAAAATTTACAACGGACCAGTAGCTTTCATATTCTTTTTTATAATTAGTCCCATGGACATTTAAAATTTATACACCTAATTAATTAGTTTTGCGAGTAGGTACTTACTTGCATTTTGATTCTCCTAAACTGACAAACACATCGTATAAAAAAATGTAAGGGACTAAAATAGTTATGAACCTATGCGTCACAACCAAACGATTTTTTCATAAAAGAACTACTTACTAGCTAAAGATTTTCTGTACCTAAGGCGTAGACCGCACTACGAAACCGCCCGAAGCTCACACACTTCGATTAAAAACCGCGAAACTAGACACGATTATCACAGCTTGAGGATGGATTTCAAGAGAGCTGTATCTATTGTTGCTTTAATACTAAGAAACGGAAAAAGAAAACGTCTTACTAGTGGAAGATTTAAGAAAGGTTTCTTTCATAATCTCAGGCTCCGACAGTGTCATCCAATTATTGACTGTGTGTAGGTCCTCCCAAAGTTTGTTTTTCGCATTTTTGTCACTATACTGACGCATAGTAGTGACGCATAAGGCCTAGGCCGCACTCCGGTTTTTTCCCGCAAGCGGTAAACCGCCAAACCGCCCGCAAAGCACAACTGATTACAAACTGGGAAACCTTACACGATTTAAATCACAAATTGATGATGGGTTTCAAAAGAGCTGATATTTTGTTGCTTTAATACTAGAAGAAACGTAAAAAGGGAAAAGTCGTCACAAATTTCGCAAATATTGGGTCCATCTACTAACTAGCAGAAGATTAAAGGTTTCTTTCATAAGAGTGTTTTACTGCTATCGGATGTCAGTAGCCAACTTTGATAAAATTTTATAAATTTTACGTCCAAACAGTACATACAATACGCCATGCATACGGCTCTTTTCGGCGTCGTCTGACAAATAATGATACATACGGCCCGCGGTTACCGCGTCAATGTGTACGCACCAATAATGTTCTATCGACTACTAAAAAATTTGGCGCGGTTTTTACTCGCGAGCTGTTCTGTAACAAATCACGGATTTTAAAATCAGTCGCGGAAAAAAACCGCTGCTGCGGATGCTTGCATTAATTCCCTTTACTCACAAAATCACGCGGTTTAGCCGTAGTGCGGCCTAGCACTAATAACTGATTATAAAATCTGGTTGTGACATATAGGTGTGCCACTTATACATAGCAGTAGCGATTCTTCAGGCTATTCAAAACTTACAAAATTTTTCAATCGATTTTCAACTTTAATGCTTTGCTTTGAGGATTTAAGTTCCAAATCGATTTAAATATTCAGACCGTTAAACTTGAAATAAATACGATGCAAAGATGATACTAAATTTTTGAGAACTGATTTTGGACTGAACTCTCAACTAAGAATTCCCAACCCCTTAAGAACTCTAAATTTAAGAGTTATTCTATTGCCTTCGAATCTAGCAAGATTCAAAGATGCGAGTCTACTAGTTAAAAAAAATCTCACTGGGTTCTATTCCAAAGCTTATGTTTTGTCTATCGTTTCTATTTTTGTTGCTTGATGCCAAAAAGTTAGCTGCAAAAAAAACTATCATTCAGTAATGATGTAATACCAATTTCCTTCTATTTAGGTTATACGAACGTCTGTGGATTCTGCATATCAAATTCCATAATTGAAGACGAAAAACAAACTTTTTCAAAATTTTCTTAAGAATAAAACGAATTCCTTTAATTTTTTTACACCATAACGTCCGGAAACAAAGTTTCCTGTAATTTTAGGGTTGTTTTTCTTTTTCCCTGTTTCTATTCATAAGGAAGGCTGCTGATAAATGTGTATAATGATTAGGTAAAAGTGCCTACTCTGAAAATAAAAATCGGTTTGAGTAGACCCCCTATGCCTATGGAAAAGCATGAAATTATATCAAACAAACAAAACAAACGGACTTTAATTAATTATATTTTGCTACCTCGTATGCAGATTGCACTGACGTTATTACTCATTATTAATTAATTATAGAATTAATGAGTAAATTCCATAATAATGATAATATTACTATAAGTGAGCTCTCCCTTGCTTGTAGGTGGATTGTTTTGAGAAATGTTACCTGGTATTCCGCAGTTGCAACCTTCTTATAGTCAATGATTTTAGAATTAGGTTTACTAATAAGAAAAAAAAACTTTGTTTTTATTATTTATTTTGTTTCAATGGAAATTATATAGGTATATTTTTATTATTGTAACCTACATAGTTATGTTGGCTGTAATTTAATATTGATGTAATTAATATATGTATTTTTATTTCAAATGAGATTTTTATTTCTCTATGTCCTAAGTAGATACCGGGAGAAAACTTGAAAAAACATGTGTGAGCCAGCCTCGCGAAAAGAAGAAGAAGCCCAGCCAGAGAAAAAGATAACTCCCATATCTTAGACACAATAAATCGTAGAAAAGAAGGAATATATCCTCTCTAGGGACACGATATCGAATAGAAAGTATCGATACTGTACTCATGAGTAGTATCGGTAAAAAAGTATCGTACTCGTAAAAGTATCGAAACAAAAGTATCAATACTTCAAAGTATCGAGTACATTTCATAGGGCCTTATCGGAGCCTCTGTGGCCTGATGAGAAACCTCCCTCTCCCCCCCCCCCCTCAGTGTTAAAATAGAAAGAAAAACAATCGAATTTTATTATAGTACGTATAATCAAAAACAAAAAAGGACACGTAAATTCACAAATTGCTATATTATGTAATGAAAAAATAGCTGTGATTTCTGACACTAAAAAAGTGTTCATTAATATTACATTCATAATTAGGTACAATGTTAATTAAAAAGATCGAAATCTTAAACAATTTAAAAGTATGAAACTTTTCAGATTTGTTTCAAATTAAACTTACTTTTCTTGAATTTTAATCATTAAAAAACATTATACCCACGTATGTTAACTTGAATCTGACACAGACAGAATAATAGTGTTACACTTGAATAAATCAAATACAGTCAAGCGAAAAGCACAATAAACGGCGAATCAATCACAGTTCCTAACAATATGGTCGCTAAATAAATAACTATGAAACAAAACAACTGCAAAATAAACACAGTCACAGATTGGAAAGAATTTGAATATGTCAGTTACTGACTTTATAACAACGCAA